TAACAACATGTTTTTTCGGCTAGTGCGCATTCTAGACAGCTTCAAGCCGACGTTTTCAAATTAAGCGCTTCGTGTTTTTTTTGAGTCACGCCTGGGTCCTTTGCCGCGAAGAGTCAAAAATTGAGTTTGCAGCCGCGTCGTCGAGGTGTCTGGTTGGAGGGCTCTTCAGAGGGACACGAAGACCGCGAATCACAGACGCCAAAAAAAGAGAACAACGTACAAAGGAGCGAAAGGTGGGTGGTGCCGTTTTCGAAGGTTAATCAGATAGGTAAGGTTTAAAAAAGCATAAAGATCTTTGATCGTGGTTTTTTGAAAAGCTCAGAGCACGAAATCTGGCTCTTTTTTCAGCGCATTCATTTTTAGTGGATGCGTGTGGCGCCGCATCACATTTTCCGGCGTTTATTGGGTAAACTTTGAGCTCAATGCTTTCTCTATAGAGGTAGAGTCGAAACTTTCTTGTAAATTAAATATAGCTTGCATTAAAAATTCTAACGCGCCTCCGTCGATTTTTCGGATTTCTAGAAACCTCTGCAGAAACGTGTTTTTATGTTCCTTCGGTCCAGACATTTTTCTTAGCAATTTGTTTCCTTCACGCTTAATTGGACGCAGCTAAATCCAGGACTTAAAACCCTCGCTTTAATTTTATTCCATCCATTCACCGGCTGGTTGGGGGTTCTGCGATTTAGTGCATCTTCTTATTAGCTCGAGAATGTAACATTCTGGCTCGGTTCCGCTATGCGTAATGAGGCGAGTGAGGGGGGATGGGAAGGGTTGAATTTGAGGATGTGGCCACACGGGTCGACACGTGCCGCGGATGGGACGGCTGTCTGCTTCGCATCTTTGCTCTCAGACGCACATACACACAGACAGACAGACACACTTCGTCGCCTCCAATTCGCATTCGTGAACCGCGAAAGCACTTTTGAGGGGGGGCGATTCCAGGAATACCGGGTGCGGGCCTGGTCTGTTATGCTTTTAAGGTTTTTGCGCTGCTATTTTTATCTTTTGGAAGGGCTCAAGGAAGAAATGCTTTTACGGTTCTATTTTTGTGGTTTGAAGGGCTTTAAAAAGGAGTACTTTTACCTGCTATTTTTTATGATATGGAATTCGCCATTATCATTTCGCAGTTCTCGGAAACCCATATCCATAAGAAACCCAAGATTCTGCCTTGTCGATCCCTTTAAAGGCGAAGCGCAAAAATCCCGACAATCAGAATCCATAGTGCCGACAATCAAAATTCCCAAGCCCCAAATATCGACGGCTGTCGGTGTTTTTCTCCCGGGACCTTGGCTGTCGGCGTTTTGGCTTTCGGTATTATGGCAGTCGGCATTTAGCTGTTGGTATTCGGGACTTTGGCTGCCGGTATCTCGGGATTTTAGCTGGAATGCCCCTTTAAAGCGTTGTATTACCCCCGAAAAGTTACGCCCGGGGGCCCAGCTCGCGCATCCCCCGTTTTCTGAACGCTTTGGCGTTGATCGCCCCCGAGGCGGGTTCCTGGTTTGGCAAGTGTTGATGGTCCATTTCCGGGTTTTTATGGTCGAACGAACGCAGCGTGCGCAGAAAAGGGCAATTGAGGAGGGAGGGGTTCATTTCTACCCCCGTTTTGTTGTTACGTCGAGCTTCTATTGAGTGGACAGCTCTTCTAGCCCACTTCCAAAGCTGTTGCACACACCATTTACGACCGCGGGATGCGCATCGCCGGATGTCTTTGCCCGTCGATATTGTAAGTGGCGTTTTTGGGTTGATTTCGGTTTTTCGGATGCCCGGTTCCGGATTTTCGGAAAATTACTGTTTTATGGTCGAAATCAATATTTGCGAAAAAAAATCTGCGTTTAGCTATATGATACAAAAACAAAGCATTTTTCGTACCTTTTTTACATTATTTTACAAACTATTCCTCATCATGAAAACTGTCCCCATTAGCTAAAAATTTGCGTTTTCTAAGCGGAATGACCCCCGATTTTTCAGATATTTTCTGAGCTTTTTTGAAATTTTCTATGTTTAATATATAGTAAAAATTATTAAAATCGATATAAGCCACGATGCTTTTACACGATACTAAAAATTTATTCTCGTGTAAAAAAAAATCGAGTTTTTCGTGGTGCAACGTTCTCGATGTTCCGGGCAACAACTTTAACGTTTTCTTTTTCGAATTTTCGTCATGCCCGTCTAGGTCCCGAGCTTATTCTCTTTTTAGGGGGCCGCTTTATGCTAAACCCCGTGAGCACATCCGCCATTCCGTTCCCACGCAGCTTCCGGGCGTGACACGTTTTTCGCTTTCTAGAAGAAAAAAAACCTCGCGTGAAAAGTTTATTTTTAGGTGGATTTCTGTTTTGTGCTCAGTTTTCGATCCCCTTTCTCGCATTATCGCATTTTAATTGCAAAAATATGTCAACTAAATTCCAAATACAAAAAAACTATCGATGTTTGGACCAGATGTTCGATTTTTTAAAGGTTTTTAGATGGTTTTACCGCTTGAAATATGTTTAAATTTTACTAAAAACTCTGTTAAAAGGCGTTTACTATTACCGTAAATATGCATTATTAGGAAAAATTGCTCCCCCGATAATGCAACAGCACCCAAGGTTTTTCTGGAGCCTTATCCCCGATCGTTCTCGATTTTCCATAAAAGCCGTCAGTAAAAGTTGATTTTGAGCTTATCTCTTTTTTTCTGTGCTCATCCGGCTTCCCGGCCCCTTTAAAACACATTCCCCACAAGAGAATTAGGCCCAACTTTTTCCGGTGCCCCTGAGAAAGGTTTTTCTCACGCTTCAACCCCCCGTTTTTTGCGTGCCTAGTTGGGCCAATTTTAGGCATCGGCCCCGGGGCTATTTTGTTTACGTCGTGGCTAATCTGGTGGCTTGTAACACTTCCGACGAACAGACGAGAAGAGCACACTTTTTGAACTTTGGTCGGCGGAATGGCGCTAATCGGGGGGGTTGTTGGAAAACTTAAACTTTCTCATTTCTATTTCTCCAGGTTCTTTCTCATTATCGGGGGGGGGATCCAACTTTTTCCCAAACTATTACTATTCTTAAACGCAAATACTGGCTTATTTTTATTTTGTCGAAACTTCGACACAATAATTTTTCGACAAACCGATAGAAAATCATAAAAAGTTGTAAATTTTGATTCAAATACAAAAAATATAGAATTTTCCATACAATTTTCCGATATTCGACCAAAATTTTACTTAAAACTTTATATAGGTTTTTTTTAGTGTTTTTCTACCTCAAATATAGTTAAATTTTGCTAAAAACACTAATACAAGACGATGCATTTCTGGCCTGATGGGACCCCCCCGATAATGTAAAAGTACCTAAAAACGGCCGCTGAACCCCCCCGCTAACAGTCTAGTACCCAGTATCGAAGTCAGATTTGCCATCTTAATTTTTCCCCAATCCCTGGACCCAAGCGGTACCACCCAAAATTAGGTGGCTTGGCCGGGTTCCCAAGAATCCCCCCTCCACCCATTTCCAGATCTTGTCAAAAATTCGTTGTGCTGACAAGGCAAGGGGAGTTCTGAAGAAGGCGACACGGGGCTTTATTAACCGCCGGGTGGGCCTTAATCAAATTCCGGGGGGAAGCTTTGTGTGGCCCGGGTGTCCAGTCAGCCACGGCTTCTATTCTTTCCGGTTTTTTGGGGGTCTTATGCTCTGGAAAAACGGCTGCTCATCGCGTTGTCGTTTTCTGCTAATCGTGTTTTGGTTAAGGAGCCGGCCGAAAATCGGGGGTAATCAGCTCTTCGGGCGGTCATTGGACTCAAATCGCAACAAAAAGCGGGTGCTTGTGCATTAGCGGGGGCATCTTTCGCCCTTAGGCCCCCATTTTGCTCATATAAAAATCCGAGAGCCTTTTATACACTTTTTATCATAAAACCTGCCAAGTTTTTATCAGAAAAAAATATAGATTTTTGCCTAAATTTGAAATTTTTAGCCAGTTTTCCAGGTTTTATAAAAAGTTATACGCTTGTTAAACTGTCTTGAAAACGATTTTAAGGTCCTTGCGAAGATATTACCACGAACGGTCTATCCATGTAAGAAAAATGGCCGATTTTTTAAAGTTTAAAATTTTTACACACTTTTCTAAGCTTTATAGATAGTTTTTCCATTTGAAAAATTGCTAAATTTCCTTACAAACTTTATTAAAACTCTTACTAGACCAATCTGGGCTCCCCGGACCCCCGATAAAACAAGATCCATAGAAATACCTGGTTTAGGACACGCCTCTGAAAGCGTTTTTAAGACTTGTGGGACCCCCCCCCCCCGATAATAGAAAAAATCCCTGGAAATCCTTGGTTTGTAACACATCCTCTCATAGCGTTTTTTGAAGCCTCCACCCACCCAAAAATGCCCTAATAACGAACGGGTGGGCCAAGCTTTTGAAGGTGTCCTTGGGACCGGGGGGGATGGCCAGAGATCTCGGCTAATAAACACACACCCATATCCGCTCCTCGAGCTCATCGGGTCCTTTTCGTGATGATTAGAGAATGTGAGAACGTTTCCCCCAAAGGCCCCTCCCCCGCCATCTATTTAGCCAGGGTTCCCAAGTCTTTATCCTTGATCCACCCCGGATTGCATTTTAGACTCTGCGCCGCGCGCCTGAAAACAAATCGCAGACGCGTGGGATCGGCGTTTTGTTTTTCGTTTTTGGTTCTAGTTCGTTAGCGGGGGGGGGGAGTGTTAGAGGGGGAAACTTAACTTCTTTTCTTCAGCCCAGCCTGTATGTTAATAAAAAACTATTTTATAAGGTTTTTGGCAGTTTCGGATGACCAAGAAGGGCGCTTTACCATTATCGGGGGAGGCGTTTTTTATTCGGCAATAGTAAAAATAGTTTTAAAACGCTTCCTCATTATAGTAAATGAAAATTGGATAGGAGACAGAGGATAAAATTAAAAATTTGGCTTCCCCCCCGTTAAGGAATTCGCACCCCTGGATTTTAGGAAATTTTTAAGAAAGCTCAGATTTTTTCTAATTCAGCTTCAAAACCTATTTTTCAGGATGCTGCTGATCAGCGCCCTCCTGGGCAGCTACATGCTGGCGAGCGGCAGCATGGTGTACGCACATTGTAAGTATTCATTTTTATTATTGAAGGCAAAACCTATTAAGACAACGAGACGTCGCTGATTCTGCGCGACATTTTTGCCGACTACGACAAGCGCGTCATTCCGTTTACCGACGGACCGGTGATGGTGAACATGACGATCGTTCTCGGGATACTCATTGAGCTGGTGCGTCGTTTTTAAATTAATTTTCCATTAAGGAACGAAATTCCGGTACTGTAGCGTTAGCGGGGGAGGTTCCGCGCGCCATGAAGCCTCTTTTTACTCGGTTGTACGAATTTTTCAAAAAATTGAATTTTTGGAATCGATATGTTTTTTGTATTTTTTCATAAAAATTTGAGAGACTTTTGCGTTTAGGAGTAGTAAAAATCAGTTTAGAAAAATCCTCGACTTCGATTTGAAAAATTGGTGCCCCCCTCCGCTAAGAGTCCAGTACCTAAATTTTTCCCGCTCCAACTTTGTAACAACTCCTGACTTTTTCCTTCTGATTCATGGGCTTCTGGCTCCTATTTTCGTAATAGGATCCACCGGGCGGCTTCCTTCGGGTTCCTGGTGTCATCCGTCAAATTAGTGTCAAATTTTCGGACCCCCGGGAGCCCAAGATTACTCAGTGGCACGCCGGAAGCCGGAGGACATGTTGCCCAGCTTCCGTTAGCTCCCGAGGAAGCAAAAATCTGGATAAAATGAGCAATTTTAGCGTGAAAACGAGCAGATAGCCGCTTACGTGATCTCGCACACGCAACGCTGGTACGATAGGAGGTTCGCACTTTTTTTGTTTTCAAAGGAAATGTTCAGGCTATCGTGGAATCCGTCAAAATATCGGGGTCAACGAGAGGTGATCGTGCCGCAGAGTTTGGTGTGGCTGCCCAAGCTGTTCGTCTACAACAGGTTGGGTTTTTGGTACTGGGCTGTTAGCGGGGGGGGGGAACTCATTTTCCCCAGTAATTCTGTGCGGTCCTATAACAAAACTAAACCATTTTTATAGCATTTTACACAGTTTTTAGATATAAAAACCTCATAAAAACTATAAAATTTCTGTAAATTTTTGGGTTTTGGTCCAAAACCTGTGAAAAATTACCAAGAAAGGAAACATTTTCGAAGTTTCGAAAATGTTCAAAATATCTGCAGTCACTTTTGATCAATTAAGCTACCAAAATATCGTAAAAATACACAATTTATTGTTAACTGTTAGTTATAGACGGCAAAACCAAAAACCGTTTTCCCCCTTACTACTCCCAGCCCCCCCGATAACAGTCCATTACCGGATTTTTGTGATAAACTTTTTTGGTTTGAGCACTTGTGTAGTTTAGTACGCTAACACTCACTATTTTAGCTTGGAGACGAACGAGATGCTCACTCCAAACAAGGCCGATGTTCGGGTTTGACAGCTTGGCAAACCTGTGACTCAATTTTTTAGCTGTACCACAACGGCGCCGTGAAGCTGAACATGCCGGAGAAGTTGTCGTGTATCTGCCGCATTGAGACAGGTTTGGTTGTTGGGAACAAAATCTGTTTCTTGTTCGTTAGCGGGGGGGCCCAGAGAGAGAGAGAGAGAGAGAGAGAGAGAGAGAGAGAGAGAGGAGGGCGACATTGTCCCCCACCGCTAACGAACCAGAACCCAAAACCTATAAATGCCTCTTTTAGAAATGTTCCCGTTCGATTCGCAGTTTTGCGCGGTTGCCTTGGCGTCACCGTTGCTGAACATTGAGGAGATGGTGGTACACGCCACACATCCGCCAAAAGACTCGTATTTCACGGTCGGTTTTACATAATTTAATATGCAACTTCTAGACTTTTAAATCGTTACAAACAAAAAATAAAACAAAGTTTAAAATATACTTTACAAACGTATAGGAAGTATTTTTATGGTGTTTTTGATAGATTTTTACTACTAGGAACTCAAAAATTATCTTTAAAAAATTAAAAATATTGAAAATTTGACTTTTTTTTTCGTTGTTTTTGATGCCTTTTTGACCAATAACGTTATCAATTTTCGTAAAATTTTTATATGTCTTTACATACTTTTTAGATGTAAAAAACTGTAAAATGCATTGTGGAAGTGCCCCCGCTAATGCTCCAGCACCAAGCCTTTTTAGGGCAACACCGAATGGCACTTGTTCAACATCACGGTCCGGCACATGAACTTCTTGGAGGAGGGCGAGTATCGTGTCGAGGTATGCGAAATTTAATGACTAGCTGGGAGCCGGAAACTACAAACTACAAAGCCTAACCGTTTACGTTACAGATCCACTACATTTTCCACCTCCAACGCCGACCCATCTATTACCTGACGGTGATCGTGGCGCCGACATTCCTCATCTCGGCCCTCTCAATCTTGGGAATCTTCTCGCCCGGCTCGTCGGATGGGCCACGAAACGAAAAGGTGGCTCGGATCGGTTAGATTGATCATCTACGGTTTTTAAGGTATCGCTTGGGCTTGGCAGTCTGCTGGCGATGACGGTATTGTTGGGTATCGTCGCCGGGGCTATGCCCAAGAGTAATGCGATACCTTTACTGGGTAAGCTGCGAGAAGTGCGTCTAATTGCCTTTATACACCTTTTAAACCTTAAAATATACGAATAACAAATAGAAACAATAAAATAATGGAAATAGCAAAGAAAAAAGAAACTAACCGATTCTTTAAACCTTAAAATAGATTATATTCCAGGCTATTACATCCTGATCGTAATCTGCCTATGCGCAGTCGGCGTGTCCATCTCGATGACGTTCCTCGCCATCGCCAAGCAGTACATCCAGCGAAGTGAGTGTGTTTTTCGGGTACGGTAACTGGAACATCATTTAGATGAGACACCCTCCCGACAAATGCTCCGCCTATTCCTGATGAATCCGGATCGGAAACGGCGATCGACCGTCTACCGCACGTCGTTCTATCGGCCGGACTTGATTCCGATGGACAAGTGGGTTGGAAAGAAAAGACAAAAACAACATGACCCACAGAGGCTACTCTTGCTCTTGTATCTCGGCTCCCCCTGAACCTACAGGGGTGTAAAATATACCAAAATATTCGTCTCGATCTGGCGGGTGTTTTGGTATACTTTACAGTCCTGTAGGACAAAAAGGAGCCGAGATACAGTAAGACTGCAGGCCCCCCCCCCCCCCCAAGCCGGGCCCCCACCTTTATAACGTGGCTCCCCAGTGGCCTACAGGTTCGTAATGTATACCAAAATGTTCGTCTTGGCTTAGCGAGTATTTTGGTATACTTTACGGCCCTCTAGCATAATAAGGAGCGGAGATACAGCAGTCGATGGTCGGCTTGGGGCATCTGTAGTTTAGCCCCCCTTGCCCGCTTCGAGAACGGCTACAAGTCCGGAGATCCGTAACGTTTTTCGTAACCCCAAGTGTTTAGGATGAAAAATCCAGAACTGTTTGCGATCTACTCGGTGTTGGAGGAAATTGCCGAGACGCAGAGATCGTTCCGGCGGAAGCAAGAGCAGAAAATCCAGCGGAAAATGGTCAGTTTTAGGGCATTCAATCTCGAAATTCCATCGCGTCGAAAATAATGGCGAACTTCATAAGCCGAGGCTTAGGTTTATGCTTGGCTTAGGGCTTAGGCTTGGGCTTAGCTTAGGCTTGGCTTCGGCTTTGCTTGGCTTAGGGTTAGGCTTGGCTTACGCATAGGGTGAGGCTTAGCTTTAGGCATAAGCTTAGGCTCAGACTTATGCATGCTTAGACTTAGCTTAGGCTTAGGTTCAGACGTAGGCTAAAATTCTCATGACAGTTTGAACCCAGTTTCAGCTAATTCTCGAAAATACCAATCCTTTTAGGTGGAGCAGGAGTGGTCACGCGTTTTCGGGCGTTTCGACCACTTTTTCCTGTTCGTATTCGAGGTGGGGTTACATCTTACAAGCTGACTTACTGTATTGCCAGGTGCTGAACCTGGGCGCGTTGGCCGTGTTCCTGCGCGTCGCCTGGTTCCCCACGCCCGAGCTGCGCACCCAGGTCGTCTAGATGTGCCGACGCGGAGCGCCCCCGATGTTTTCGACATTTCTTTTGCTCAATCTGTGATCTCGCTGTCTTTACGGTTTTTTGTTTGATCTGTTGTACATAATATTGCCATGTAATTTCCGGTAATAAAGTAATCCAAAAAGGTCATTCTCCATTTTAAGAGAAAGTAGCGTTTTTGACCGAATTTTTTGTATGGCCCGCGAAATGCCTATTAATGTAGTGGTAGCTACTTAAGCGTGTTTTTAATGAAATTTAACTGTACTTTAAAGGGAACTCGATCTAAACAACTTTTAAAACGTAGAAATTCTCGAAATTCGACATTTTTGTATTTTTATGCGGTTTTCTCGTTGGGAAATGGTAAGTTTAAGCTTATGCTTAGGCTTAGGCTTAGGAACGTCCTGCTGCTTGGCTCGTAACCGTCCTAAAGCTCATGGTATTCACTTCCAATACACGATTTTTGAGACCAGCTTCGCTTCTGAAAAATTCTTTTCTCCATTTTCACTCGCCGAATTTCATCGCCACCGCCTCTGAGCGCAGTTTATTTTCGACGACACCACAAAGTAATAAACGAGAGCAGGGCCGGAGGGGTGTCGGGGGCAGATTATCCTCCTTCCGCCTGCGTCATTCGCCCGGCAAATCCGTGTCGGCCGGCGGATCCGTCTGTGTCTCTCGCCCAATCGTGGTTACTCCCTAAAAAGTGTGTCCAGCCAGGGCGGAGGGGTACGGTAGCGCCAGTCTGCTGTTTCCCGCGCTAAAAGCAACATTTAACGTTTAGCTGGCCGTCCGAAAACGGGCCTTACTTCAGCAATTTCCTTTCGACGCTTATCGCGAATTTTTCATTAAAATACGCCGAACTTTCCTGAAACACGCCGAAGCCTAAAGGCACATCAGGTTGGAAAGGTACTGGTCTCTTAGCGGGGGGGCGCTAGCTTTGGTCTATCGCCCTGGAGTCTCACAACAATGCAAAATACAAGCCACCTATATAGATTTTAGGCCGTTTTTTCAGCATAGACGGTTCTTAAAAATATGAAACTTTTCGCAAAATTCTGGTTTTGTAGCAAAAAAGCACCAAAATGCAAAAAACATACAAAAATTCGGGTTTGAGACGTTTGATGACTTTACAGTATTTTACGACCCATAATACACTTAAAAATGCCATATGAAACGCGAAAATTGGTATGTAAAAACTTTTGCTAGGTGCGCTAGTTTGTTCCCCCCCCCGCTAACGGTACAGTACCGATTTTTTGAGGGATTTCGTCGGCAGTTTGGTCTGATTTGGTCGGTTTCAATGAAAAATATTGTGTTGTCCGCCCCTCCCCCCGCTAGCAGACCAGTACTCATTTTCTCCCAGAAGTGCACCCCAACGTTCGCCTCCTCCATCACATCTGGGCCTAATACAACATTTTTCCGGCCCTTCCGGCTGGAACATTCGGCGATACGGCCGTGGCTGCGGTTATTTTCAGCACTCACCGGCGCCTCAAATTTCCGGCCATGATGCCGCATCCCCCCGAGGCGCTGGATTCGCTCTATTTTTGCCCCGGTCCCTATGCCCATTTTCCCGCCATTTGAGCACGAAATTAATGCTCGAGTCCATGAGGCCAATTTGGGGAGGAGAGGGGGATCCCCTTGGGGGATTTCCTGCCCCACCCAATGAAATCGGCATATTGTCGGATTAAAATAGGGTGCCCGGGATGACCGGCATTTGACGTAGCGCGGCCATGACTATTTTTAAATTTTAAATCTGGCTTTGGCGATGAAATTTTGCAAGTTTGTTTTTGTAAAACATGGCACGGATTTGGTGGTATTTCATAAGGGGGTGCTTTTGCGTTATCGGGGGGGCAGTTTTCGTTTTAAGCCCAATTTTTCAACTCTTTTAAACTGCTATTTACCATTCCTAAACATAAAAATGTACCGATTTTATAAAAAGACAAAAATAGGGATTTTTTTTACCTAAAATGGCCGATTTTTCCAACAAAATTTCAAAATTTTTTACGTTTTTCGATAGTTTTACTTAAAATATAGTTAAATTTACTAAGAGCACTTTTATAACACTTTTTCTTACGTTACTAGGCATTTATGAACTTACGGGAAAAACTAGCCCCCCGATAATAGGAAAGAACCTTAATAAATATTCTGAAAAGATGTCGTGATACTTTACTTATTTTCCTTTTCTTTTGTCGAAGTTCGTCTTCGAAATTACAGTAATAAACCTAATGCTAACGATTTTCGGGAATTTTCATAAAAGAACTATACTAGAAAATGTAGTTTAAACCGCTCAACATTTCGCGTAATTTTTTTTCTAGGCTTTGTTTTAAATTTAGATACATTTAAATCACAATAAAAAACGCGTCACTTTCGCCTACACTTCCCATTTTGTGCTAATTCGGGGTGATGATGGGAAAGTAAGGCGCCGGCCCGCCAATCTACTAATGGATGGACCGTTGGAAAGCCGCCAATTTTCTCGAAGCAAAAGATCAGTGGCCCTTTGCGGGGGGCTTTTTGGCAGCATTATCCGCCCTTTTCTATGTACGATAGAATACGCTTTGATTCGGGCGGATTCACCCGGCCGTACCCAATTCTCACGCTTCACCCACCCCAGCCGAGCTCATTACCCCCAGTTCAAATTGTCGTTTTTCCACGTGGTTGCGCACTTCTTTTTGCTCCGGTTTTGCCCGATTTTAACGGTTTTTGGGACTGGACTGTTAGCGGGGGGGCTTAGCAGGGAAGCTGGATTTTCCTTGTAATTCTGTACGGTCATATATACCTATATATTCTACAAACTATAAAAACCATTTTTATATCCTATTTAACAACGTTTTTAGATAGAAAAAGCTCTTAAAAACGATAAAATCTCCGTAAATTTTTGACTTTTTGATCAAAGATGTATGAAAAATGACCAGTATTTAACATCTCAATAAGGTGAAAATATTTTGATCATTTTCTAGCAAACAAAAACTACTCAAACATTATAAAAAATACATTATTTATTATTAACAGGTAGAACAGCAACAAATATTATTCCCTCCTGCTAACAGTCCAGTACCAGGCTTTCGGCCGGATTCCAGCTGGTCAACCGTCCAGCTTGTCTTTTTCCGCCCCTTGTCTAGCCACCCGGCTTTTGATAATTTAACCCTCTCGTGCACTTTCCAAGGCGTACCCCTGATCGGTAATTTCCAATTATGTATGCCGGCGACAATGGCCGGATTAGCCGGAGAGAGGCCCGCACTACCGTAACCCGGGCCCGTGGATTCCGGGACACTACGCGGCAACGAACGGGCGCGGGGAGGATCGAGGTGCAATTGGGAGTCTGGAAGGGCGGAAAATTCGTCGCTGGCTGACTGCAAATTTCTCCAGGAATCTCTGCTGGCTCCTTATGCGAAAACGGCGCTTTTTTATTGTTTCTTTCGCGTTATCGGGGGGGGGGGAGAAAACCAACTTTTTTAAAAACTATTTTTGGTAAACCTAGTTTAAAAACCTTACAAATTTTGATTAACAAGGGAAGGTTGTTTGGGTCAGGTGTCAAATCGACTTGAAACTTTGCCAGTGGATAGAAAATCAAAAATAAAGTGGAGTTTCTTAATCTCATTTTTTGCACAATACCCCAAATTAAAAAGTTATAGGTCTTTGAAGTTACATAAGAAAGCACGAAACGACCCGACAATTCTGATCTGGTCCTCATTGTGGCCTGCCCCCTTTTCAAGCTCTTGCGTCGCCCGGAGTGGCAAGCTGTTTGGCGCAGTAGGTAGTGCCGTAGAGTACAAAACTTTTTAAATTTTTTTTAATCGAGTTCAAGTCTTTGATGCGTCCAACTTTTTGCTTTTTGGATTTTACGCCCACTAACCCTAATTTGCAAGAGCAAAAAGCAAAAAGCAAAAAAGATAGAAAAGTTTTCGTCTCGAACTTTTGCCAAAAATTTTTCAAAAGATTGTGAGTCAAGCGCACTACCGATTGCGCAAGAAGAGACGTGGGGAGCGGAGACAAGAGAGGGTCAAGAAATCACGCATGAAGAAAATGTGGAAACGGTGCGGTATTGGTGCAAAAGCCTGCGCAAAACTCAATTTTTAGACCACAAACTTAAAATGCTTATAACTTTTTAATTGGGGGTATTGTGCAGAAAACGTCTTAGCGCACCTTGTTCCGTTTTCAATTTCCTATCCACTGGCCAATTTTCAGAAAGATTTGACACCTGACCCAAACAACCTTCCCTTGTAAAAAATACAAAAAATATCGCCTTAAGACGCAAAATCTGCAATTTTTGACCGAGATATCAACCAAAAAAATTTTCAAGGCTGTTTTGCCTGTTTTTGACTTCAAAAAAATAGTTAAATTTTTCGCAACTAGTCTAATTTTAGATACATCCAGCCTCCTGGATATGTAAATCTGTTTCCCGTGTCGGAGGGTTGTTATGCGAATCTCGTCGGGTTGCCAGGAGCCATCCCATCCCTCCCAAGATTTACCCTCCTCCCCGCACCACCACTTCTCGGGGCTCCGAGCAAATTAGGGCTTCTCCCCCTCACCACCGGGATGCACTCCATCATCTATGCCATATGGATAGTTAGCGTTCTTTTGCATTATCGGGGGACCAAGTTTTTTCTAAGCATCTAATTTTTTAAATATAAATAGCGAAAGTGGTTGTAAACTATTTACTATTCTTGTTTTGCTATTCTTCAACGTAAAAACCTCACATTTTTATGAGAAAAATGCAAAAAGTGCGCAAAAATGGGCGTTTTTTCATAAAATTTCTCCTAAAAAATGTCCAAGTTTTTTTATGTTTTGCCACTTACCATAAAGTAAACTTACTTAGCAAAACTTCTTAAACACTTTCTATTACGCTACCGTTACTAGGAATTTCTCGGTTTATAGGAAAAAAATTGCCTCCCCCCGATAATGCGAAAGAGCGATGATTAGCGTTACCGCCCCCCCCCCTTTTTCAGCTACTGTACCCCGACGGCTCGAATCTTCGATGGCCGATTGCCCAGTTTTTGGTATATCTCCCCATT